AGTTCGTGCACCGGAGCTGCGGGACGGCGGGGTACCGGCCTTCGGTGGTGTCTACATCGCTGCCGCATCTGGCTGCCACCGGCTGCGGCCACCTACTCCTCCCCTTCGTGCCCATCCGCGAGCGACTCCGCGACGCCGTCGAGTCCTTCTTCTCCTGCCACTTCGACCTCTTCGTCGAGTTCACCGGACTCGTCAGGTGTTGAACAGTCGCATCACCTCTTTCATGCCATTCTGTCTGGTCGGTCCTAGTAGTTTCACATTGGTATCAGCATGTCTCCTTGGAGCAAATCAATTTTACATATATGCTTATAGTACCCTCATATAAGCACCTTGCATTGTACCTGCCCTCATGATTCCACTAACTTTATACGGATGCATAAACCTTATAAAAAATGTTGTCACCCTATTAATGGTGCGCATAAACCTTGAAGGTAGTTTATGTAGGACCTGACATAACGTGACACACTAATGCTCTCCTTATTAAAAACCTCTGTATTTGGCGTGCAGTTGGTGCAAGGGTTCTTCTATTGGATGGCACAGTGACGACAACAAACCTTATCTTAGGCAAAGAGCCTTCACTGTGAGGACCAATCTGATTTGGGGAATTCAGTCAGTTTGCATGGTTTCTCTTTGTATCTCGAGTTTTTAATTCCGAGACAGTGACATCACACAGTTCTTAGTGCTTAACTGTCATTTTGGTTGATTTAGTTCCCATTTGCCTACTTGTTGGCGAATAAGCAAGGAAAATGTTGTCAAGTATTGCTGTAAAACAAAAACATGCCATTATGTATCCTGCTTTGCATTAATAGACTGCTGCAAATACTTGCCAATTTCATGAACAATGTAAGAAATGATCCCATGAAACTATGAGTTTGTTAAGAACCAACACACATTGAAAATTTTCTTCGCTCTGTGTATTATCATTGTGATTAGATATTGAAGCCATTCATAACATGGAGAGGTTTTCTTAGTTCTGCTATGATGACCACTTATAAGTTTTTGCCCACACTGATCACTTGCTTTTCTGCTTCTTTTAGAGGTGATCTTTCTCATGCTGACTTTATTTCCCTCTTCTGGATTCAATTAAAAAGGCTGTGTGCTACTTGAACAATCATGGAAAGGACTTTAAGGGTGGACTGTTGAAGTTTCAGGATGGTGAACCCTCCACTGTTATTCCAGTTGCTGGTGTAAGCAGCACACACTACATGCATTTTTTTCAGAATCATTGATGTGGATATTATCTTCCACCGGCTTAAATATATTGGATAATTTCTTTCATTTTATGACAATTAATATTGTTTTCAGGATGCTGTCATCTACACTGCTGATAATCGTAATGTCCATTGTGTAGATGAGGTACGTTTCTGTTTTCTGTGTGGATCAGTTTTTTTTGCTGTAGTATATGCACGCCTATCCTCCTTCACTAATGTTGGTTATCATATTTTGTGCCATTATTTAGATACAATAAAAGTTCTCTATTATTTTTATTGTTTTCTATTTATGAAACAAATGGGGAAAATGTGTTAAAGTCAGCTGTAGCAACAGTTGATTGCGAACTAATTGTTTCATGGTCAAATATTTTCTCTTTTTCCCTTGCATAGGCTTTGCAAAACTCAATTCATCGGCAGCCTTTGTTTTTTCCTCAAGATATTGTCAGTCTTTTGACGTTTTACACGAGAACTTTTCTTTTTATCAACAAACTATAGCAAATCTTTTACAGGTAACTGAGGGTGAAAGGCTCACACTTACTCTTTGGTTCACTAGAGATAGTTCTTTGGATGAGGATCCAAAGCTCCTTAGTTTTCTATCCCAAACATCACTGAGCTATGAGCCAGCTGATCAGAACTCTTATATTCCTTTGCCAGCCTCAGATAACATGTACTGGTTTTCCTACGATCAGTCTGGCTTTGACATACGATGTGCTAGAATACACATTCTTGGGTTTAGTTTTCGTGCAAGCAGCGATGAAGACAGTAAGAGTACATCTGGTGCACCAGCTGATGACCCCATAGAGTTGCTTGGGAAGCCACTGCGAATTGGGAGGGCAGATGATGTCTTTGGGAAGATATTTGCCAACAGCTTGCACGCTCTTCAGGTAACCGCATTCTGCATACTTTCCTTTTTGAGTGGATTTAATTCTGCAGTCAGATTAAGTGCAATAGGATCATGTGCATATATTCTTTTAAAACAAGATATGCCAGCAGTGAGGAGCGGATAGTTTCTATAAAGAAGCTTTGTCTCATTGCCGCTGATAAATGATAATTTGGTTTGTTATAACATACTTATTGGTGAATGCCCAACAGTCCCTTGCTGAAGTTACATGTCAAGAGTAGGTGAAACCAATCTTCTTGGCAATCCATGTTACAAGGGCACAAAAAAGTCAATTCAACAAATAAATCAGGGGCTGTTTGGTTGCTGCCCACGTTCGCCCTGCCATGTCACGGGCTGACCAAAAAATTGGCGACCGATCCGCGCGCCCTGGTTTTCGCCAACAAATTGGCATGAAATCAGTTGTAGGGAGGGCGGACGGACTGGGCGTGCCAAAAATAGGAGCTGATCCAAACGGACGCCCACGTCTCAGTCAACGCCAACGTTTTGGCTTGGCAGTTGAGGGCAGAGAACCAAACAGTCCCTCATTCTTTCTCAACATTGCTTTGGTATTTAGTTTCCTCTATAGTAGAATCTGTCAGAATTTGTACTATGTTGCAACCTGTATTTATTATTCCATGCCCAACTGAATCATGGCAAAATTCAGTGCATCCTGTAACTAGTGTGTATGCCTTTGAAGCATTTTAAGTCATTAGTGCCCCAAATGCAAGATAAACAGTCTATGTTACTATGCAAACTAACTTGGTCAAGAATGTTTCGCAGCCCGTCTGACTGCTCAGATGATATTTCAGAAAGTGGATGATAGTAAAGTACTCCCTCCGTAAAGAAATATAAGAGTGTTTAGAACACTACTCTAGTGATCTAAACGCTCTTATATTTCTTTACAGAGGGAGTACTGAAGTTCCAAGAAATAGTCTACTTCTACAGAGTTTTGGGACTAGTTGATTTCCTGTTGTAAATCAGTAAACCTAATGAAAATCTTCTTCTAAAGCTGAGTTTAGTCATATGCAATTCTGGAATATTTATTTTTCCATCTCATGCATGTAGAAGACCGGTCAGAATCTTGAAAAGATCCAAATGCTTAAGAACATTGCTGCCAAAAGACCCTTTTAAACTAATTCCTAATAGGGCTGTTTTATCATAGTATATGTGCCAAAGAAACTTAACCCAAGGGATGCCAAAACTGCTGAAGAATATGTGAAGAAATTTTTATCAAGTGCATCATATTATCCCTTTTAAGATTGTTGAATGCTTTTTTCTGGCCACTATTTTCCTGCAAGTTTATCGTGCCATTACTCCAACGTCACCGTGGATTGTAGAACTTGATTTTAAAGTATCAGTTTATTGCTCAGTAAATGTGCTTGTTGACACCGATCATGAACAATTTTTTTTGTACAAACGACAGTTTTTTTACCTACATCTTTCAACTAGGTTACATCTGACATCTTTTCTGTTAATTGAGTTGCATTCATTTCAAATTTCTTAATTAGGTGGTGCAATTTTACTACTGGAAAGCACCTGAACTGGCAGCAAGGAGAAACCAGACTACTGGTGGTTCAGAAACAGTTTGCTACCCTACTATACAAGTACAGCAATCAAGTGGAATGGAACTTCCATTACCGTGTAACCATGGACTTGCACAGACCATATTTGGATCATATAGCAATGTGGATTCTGTTATTGAATGGGATGATGTTGTGTTAGCACTTGCTATGTGGGAGAATTATTCAGAAGAATTGAAGAGAAAGTTGTTGATATTCTTGCCAAATTGGCTGTCCAATGGAACCTTTTTTGTTTTAGATCCCTCCGAGCCTACCCAGGTATGTGGTGAAGGGAACTAAACACTGCCCTTATAAAAATGAAAATCATACTAGTAACATAACAATGATGTTAGGTAGCATTACGTCTGACATGGCCGTGGAGAGTTTTGAATTTAACTGTTGCTCATTGGGGTAATCTCTCTAAGATGGATTCACTGGTGTTAAAACATTATGGAAAACCGTTCCTTGATATATGTATTTTAGACAGCTTTCATGTGGCTTAATATAGACCTATTCTGTTTTATAGAACGTTCTATCTGCTGTTAGCCTGTTACCTCTCAAGCTGGTTACCATTTTCTTGGTTGCCGAGTTTTGCCAGAGAGGTACTTTTAGTTTGCATGTCTGAAGTGATATTTTCTTGGCAACATTTTCCGAGTTTTTGCCACAAAATTATTCTGGTACTTGTAATTTGCATGCCTGAAGTAGTATTTTCTTGGCAACTTTTTCTGTCATGAAACACTTGAAAATGCAGTTAGGGGCCTCTGCAATCTGAGTGCCCAAACTTAATGCATGACCTGTTAAGGGGATCTCTCTGATGGTCTGAAACATTGTGGTAGACCGTAGACCATTCATTGGTTAATTTAAACTTGTTTCATTGGTTCTTGAAAATTTGAAATATCAGCTCATCAGATCCCCATGCATTCTCTCTTCCACACACAAACCGTGCCCTTTATTTGTGAAAGAAAGCTGAAGAAAATAGTCTTTGCACTGTTGTTGAATCCTGATACCAATATGCAAAGGTCACCGTCAGATACTAGAGTTCATTTAATTTTTTGAGTGCTGGGTACAATATTAGAGTTTATGCATATTTCTCTAAATGCACATCACATCACTAGATCCCTGTGACTTATGTATGCATCAGAAGTTCAGAACCAATGGACACCATGCTGAGCATCTCTGCTCCTTTATTGCAGACAATTCACAACCAGTTCAATATTTCTTCAGCGCTGAACCACACACCATACTAAATACCAATCTATTACCTTTACCACTGTTACCACAGTGGCACATTCAATTTTTTTCACAAATAGCACTACCAAACTAATTCTCCTGCCATGATCTGCATCTCCCTCATTCTGCAGTGACATAGATGGAGGGCTGGAAGTAGTTTGTTTTGCGCGAGCTCCACTTGTACAAGACTTTCCCAGAAACATCATAAAAGATGAAGTCAGCTTGGTCCTGGTTTAGCTGGAGGGACATGAACCCTTGCCCATCATAAAAGAATTGGAGCTTATCATCATTTGGCTGGTAGACTCCCCTCCATGCTTTTGAACCGCCTCCGCTAGTGAAGTATTGGATTGGACTGGTACAACAGAAGCCCGCGTGTTAAGGTTAGACAACTTCAACAAGTGTGAATTTAATGCCTTACTGCTCTGTTCTAAAAAGAACAATGTTTATCAAACGACGTTAACCTGTCTCTGCTGCTAATGTGTTCCAAGCAGTGGTCATGCCCATTGATGTAGAAGTCGATGCCGTTAACCTGGAAGGGCATGAAAGTGTCATAAAATGATTCTTTTTCTGGGCTTTTTAAAACTAATAATGAGGCTAGTTATGATTTACCTCGAGGACTGGAAGAAGCAATTGCAGGAGCTCCTCGGTGTCCCCATGGTCACTGACACTCCTCATGGTATGATGCCCAACAGCAATCTTCCACTTTGCAGTTGATTTCTTCATTGCCTCGTCCAAATCCTAGATTGTAGAATTTACGGAAAAGGAGTGTGTATTTATTTTGCTTTGTAACTAACATGGATGAGAATATTTATTTGACGTGTGCACCTTCAGCAGATTAGCTATGTAGTTTTCTCGAGGCGCCACTCCTCTCCAGTCGTAGTGACTGTCTTTAGGGTGAGTCCAGTACTTGAGTTGGAATGGAGTGGTGTCGATGAAGAAGAACTCCACCATCTCTGAGAGAACAGGGATGAATGATAGTCAAGCCTTATGCCGTTTTTACAAGTATATCATCTTTTTGAAAAAGAAAATCTGAAATGAACAAATATAAATCTTTTTCTCGGTTCAAATAAATATGACCATGTACCTGCATTGACAACAAATGATCTCATGCAAACGAATCGCTCATCGAGCTTGCGCAGGACCGGGTCAAGCTGTGCTACCGCATCGCCCCGGTAGTCATGGTTTCCAAGAACTGGAAGGAACAAAAAGCCTTAGTAGCAAGCTAGTGATGAGCAGGTGAAAAAGCACCGAAAACCTTCCCATTTCTCCCTGAAAAAAGAGGGAGATGATAAATCACTGAAGCTTACCGAGGTACCACGGCTTCTGCAAGCTCTTGGCGGTGTAGATATTGGTGAAGGATTCTTCAAACTGCTGGTCATGGACGCCCGTCAGGCCGTTCTCGTAGAAGTTGTCGCCGGTGGAGACCACGAAGTCGATGTCCAGCTTCTCCCCGACCTTCCCCATCTGCACCAGCAAAGAAGAATCCCCATGAGGCCATGACTCAGCAGCAGCTCTGCCCGCCAAACTCGGAGACGCACGCGCCAAGGAGGCAGAAGATCAAGGCGACCCCTTCCAATCCAATAAATAATAACCGAAATGCCAAGTGGACCAACCACCAGGCGGTTTTCATTCCCCATCCATCCAATCGCAACGACCCTACCGCGGTGCGCGGTTACGAGCTCAAGTCGTAGTACGATCCTACTGGCGAACCAAGAGGAAGAGGAGATCGGGCCAAGGATCATCGCGTACCTGCTCCGCGACCCTGGATTGGTTGTAGGTGCCCTTGCGGCCCCAGTCCCCGATGACGAGCAGGCTGAGCGACCCGTCGTTCTTGGCCGGGTGCTCTACCAGCGGGAGCTCCGCGGCGGCCGGCGCGGACCGGAGCGCCGCCACGGCCAGGACGGCGAGCACCACGGCCATGGAACTCCTCGCCATGGTTGATGGCCGGACTGACGGGGACGGCGGCAGTGTGGTTAAGAAAGGTGTAGCCAGAAAGCGATGGCCAGTGTGCGCGCGGATATATAGCGGCCACGCCCACACACACGCACGATCAAGGCGAGGAGGAGGGACACCACGGCAAGTTACCACTGCTCACTGGGAATCTGGGATGGTTAAGAAAGCGATGGACAGTGTGTGCGAGACGCCGATTAGGTGCCTTGCAAGCGTAATAATCGCAACGAAAAAAGGAGGTGGGCGAGGAGAGCTGGGAAGGAAGGATGCGAGATCGTGAAGCCGGTGAAGGTGCATGTCACTGTCTGCCAGCCCAGTTGGCGCGTGGCCAGCCTTTCTTTTCTGTTTGGGCCTTTGGGGCTTTCTGCTTACTTTTGTGCTACTTGTGGCGCTTGAGACGTCCAGGATCATCTTGGTTTTTTGGTTTAGTGCTAATCTACAGCAACGCGATAACGCATCCATGTCATCCTTCCATGTGTCACGCATTGTTATTGGAGAGATTCGCGCAGCTAGTTGCACGGGTGGTGATGACTGATCCGATCGCTCATGACTTGGATGAGTTTTTCGCCCACGTAAACCACGATGAGCTATCGTATAAGGTTCAAGTTTGAGAATCTGAAAGCAGAAACCATGTTACGTACGGGCCAATCCGTTCCATGGATCTCCGGTGCAGTTTTACGAACTCTTTTCTCACTGACGCCAAGCTTGGTCCACCATGTGCGAGCATTATTGTAGGGCTAGTACTACAGGTCCATGTAATCATGCTGCCCTGTTGAGCGCGTGACGAGGCTGAGGCTCGCTAGTACTACATCGATCGCGGCGTTTTCTTGGACAGGACAGAGCTCGCAGCTCAGTCAGGTAAGAACTGGCCAGGGAAGTGAACTGAACCGTCTCGCTCCCCTCGTGTCCACGTACCTTTCTTGTACGAGTTAGGGCATGTATAATAGTGCTATCTTAGTAGTGCCACATACGATAAATGTTGAGGCTAATTCCCCTGCAGCAAGATAGGCGGCAACAGTGGTGGATGAGCAGGCACAAGCAGATCAGCAAAGCGGATAAGAAGGGCTTTGATTCTTTCGTGATGTTGATTTGCTGGACGTTATGGAAGCAAAGGAACGCTAGGGTATTCCAATCAGGTGTGATTGCGATGAGTATGCTATGGTTGATCTTATTTTTCAAGAGCTGCACCTAGGGGTGCTAGCTGGAGTGGCAGGTTTCTAACGTTTTTGCGAGTAGTCCGCTTAGAATAGTGGAGTGGTAGGGTGGATCTCGGGGTTGTGGTGATCTACCATGTAAACTCTTGTACATATTATTCTCTTTTCTATAAAGCTAAGGTACGACATCTCTCTCTAGCCGGATAGAAAAACGTCTCGCCCGAGCCGCTCTCGCGGGCGGCAGGGCGAACCCTAGACGCCGCCAGGCCACCCCTCTCCCTCACCTCCTCTCCTCCTCGCCGCCGCCGGAGGGCGCCGCCGGGCGAAGCCCGGTCGGCGTCGGCGGCGGCGGGGTCTCCTGGCCCCCCTCCCCTGTTGCTCGCGGCACGGGCGCGACAGCTTGGCAGGGACGCGGGGCGGCGCGGCGGCGACTCGGGCGGCCGTGCTGGTGGCGCGGCCTGCCGGTGGAGCGGCGGCGGCTGCGCGGATGGATGGGCGGCTCGCGAGGCGGAGATGGCGAGGCGGGCGTTGTCGATCCACTAGTAGAAAAACACCTATTAGTCCCGGTTCGTAAGGGCCTTTAGTCCCGGTTCATGAACCGGAAATAATGGATCGTTACTAATACCTCCACCCATTAGTCCCGGTTCAAACACGAACAGGGACCAATGTGCCTCCATGTGCCTGTGCGTCGAGCCCAGTCAGGGGGGCCTTTGGTCCCGATTGGTGGCACCAACCGGGACCAAAAGTCCATGTTTTTTTATTTAGAAAAGTGGCTGCTTTAGGGGTTTTGGGGGTTATTTTTAGGTTGTTATTAGCTAGCTAATAGAGAGAAGTATCCTCTCTTATATCTTCGTCCTTGGTTTACCAACGCTGCTGCTATATATGTTCATTTCACCCGCTGATATAATAACGCATGCATGCTCGCATCATACATCATCATATATAATAACAAGCTAGTCCTGCTACTAATCATGCATCATCATACAACTTCTACTCGTTATTAACAATAAGTCATACGATCATCATCTTCATAGTCATCGAACCCAACCCTACATAATTGTTCTTAGCACATGATCATTAGTATTAGGTAGGACCTAAACACCCTTAAGGTAAAATAGTATAAAACAATATAGACCCTGACTCTCCATTATGAAGAATGGCAATCATCCTGTCTCCAATTCTTGCCCTTCGCTGCTTTTTGCTTCCAAGAAGCTCCTTATGATTGTCCATACATTTTTTCCATTCTTTGATTGTCATGTCTCCACTTCTTTTAGAAACCCGGTATGGACAGTTGAGATTTGTAAGAAGACCTAGTTGTATGTTCAAAACATGAAGGGTACCGTGCGTATACATCAGATGAGGCACACAATCATTCGGGATTATCTGTTGAAAAATATAGTAATAACTTCGTAGTTAGCAATGATGTACTAGTTTTAGAAGTGTGCAAAAAGATGCACGAATGTCGTATAGTAAAAAATCTTACCAGGGTATCTCCATGGTAGTTACTGTAGTTCAACACGTGCACTAGTGGCACGTATTGACCATAATGTTGAGGAGTTTAATTGTAGATATTGTAATTCTCAAGATCAGTACAAAATGCGACCAGATGATTTTTCTCCTGATAAGTTAATTCGGAGCCTTCGGTGTAGTAGGTTCTGTCTACCATCTTCCGCACATTCTTTGAAGAATGAAAATAAGCTTTCAATGGAAATAAGTTGTCAACTATTTTGAAATAAATAATATAAATTACTTAATAACTATGTTAAGCTCACATGGGGGAAGAATTGGAGGTGTATCCACAAGGACGCAAATCGAAGGTCTCTCTTGCTCGATTGTAGGATCACCAAGATCCATGGTGACAAGCATACCCTCATCAAAACCATATATCTTGCAAAGTGCTTCCCAATTTTTGCAACCAAAATGGGTTACACTCTGAGCATTGTACAACTTTACTTGAAAATCCACACCATGATGGGTACTTAGGATAATTTTTTTGGTTTCCATACTTTCATGATCTTCAAAACCCATCCTCTCCAAGACATAGCGTCTTGCAAAGCATGGGATAAGCTAGTCGAATTGGAAAAGATGAAAAATACACGTTAAAATAGTTGAAGTCGTGCTTAATTACGAAAAAAACTATTGTCGTTGTTGCGTACCGTATGAACATCGAAGGTCTCCTCGAGCTTAATGCTGAAGCGCCGATCTTCGTCCAGCTCAATGAACCTGTCGCACATACCTCGGTCGTTGTGGCACCAGTCGCACTCCTGATGAAGTCATGTACCTAGAGTAGGGTCATGAACCTATCTAGGATACCCTACCCAAGGACATCCTTAGAAGAAGCTACCTTCCAGTCGACCAAGAGGGACTCCACTCGACGAACTCAAGGACACTCGACGATGAAGATAGCCACTCGACCATGAAGCTAATCACTCGACAACCAGGAGACCTAAAGTCACTCAGCACGCGACGGTCTGTCATTAAGTAGCTTTAATAGTCTTCATGGTCCTTTATGTGGGCGTTACCAGTAACTCCCTGTCTTAATGTACTTTAAACCCTGCATAACTGAGGGCCGGAGGGGTCTGGCGAACTCTATATAAGCCACCCCCCTCCTCAGTGTAAAGGGTTCGCACCCCTGTAACTCATACGCACATAATCCAGTCGACCGCCTCCGGGCTTCGAGACGTAGGGCTGTTACTTCCTCCGAGAAGGGCCTGAACTCGTAAATCCCTTGCGTATACAACTACTCCATAGCTAGGATCTTGCCTCTCTATACCTACCCCCATTCTACTATCAGACTTAGAACCACGACAGTTGGCGCCCACCGTGGGGCAGGTGTCTTAGCGACTTTTTGGAGAAGTTGCAATTTGCCCGATTGCCTTCATCATGGTTTCTGGCGGAGTTCTGGTCGAGGGTCGCGAGATCCGTCTCGGTGCGCTCGCTTTCATCGCCGACGACTCCGCTTGGCTCCAGGAGGCACCACTCGACATCGACGCGCTCCCCATCCGCGGTGCGACGCATTTTCGGGCGTGTGTCCGTGGCGTCCTGCTACGGCAGCCGTCGACCCCATACTGGTCGACTCCTGTGCCGTCCTCCCTCCCTGTCTCCTGCCAGCGCAAGCGCTCCAGTCGGTCGAGACTTCAGCGGTGGGTGAGACACGCAGTGGCTCGCCAATCGGCCACCACCCAAGTCGCGGCAATTGAGCCCGATGAGTCTCTCTACGGCCTGTTCGATCTGTCGACTGACTCCGTAGAGACTGCATCCGAGTGCGACAGCAGTGATCCAGCGGCGGAAGTCCTGATGGTCAATGGGCCCCGTAGCCCTCCCGGCTTCCCCCGCATCGACGGGATGGACGATGGAGGCGACCCCGCTCAGGCCCACGAGGAATATCAACCCGAACCACTCACTTCTCAGCAAAGAGAAGATCTTCGCCGCCGGAACATGGATGCCCTGCATACTCCTATCGCGGGAGAAACTCCCGAGGCTCGTGCCTTGGAAGAGGCGCATTTGGCCAACTTGGCTGAACGCACTCGACTGGAGAACCTCCAGCAAGCACTCGACGAGCGTGCGCGGCAACGAGTACCCGACTCCAGTCGCCGTCAGCTCTTTCCGCAACCGACTCAGGTATATCGAACCCCGATTCAGAATTTAGCAGCTGCAGCCCGTATAGCAGAGTCAATTCAGCCCTCTCAGTCGGAGGCTGGCAGAGGCTTGATGCAGATCAAGGATTTGCTCCGAGCAGCAGGAGATCAGAATTCAGCTGTGTCACAGTCGCGCAACAGGATTCACAGTCGATCCGTCGCTGCGAATACAGTTCAGTCGGCTCATAGCCCA